GAAATGGTGGGGCGGTTTTCCGTGTTGCCGAGGAGCCAAATGTGCATCACTGATGTAAACGTCAGGAAACCGTTCCGTATCACTTTGCTTATTCAAACTATTCTTTTGTTTTTTAATGTGTATCATCTTTGAGATTATTCTTTTATAATATGATTGTTCAGAATCAACTATATTAGTATTATCCCAATCTATTGCGTAATTAAAATCTAATATATGCCTAGAAATAATAGACAAATTATTCATTGGTTTTTTGTAATCATTTTTGTGTTCCTTTATTCTAGTTTTAAGTTTGCGTTTTGTTTGTCCAATATGTAGATTCACAATCTTGGCAATTTATTTTATATACAACATCTGATTGATCTTCTTTTTTGATTATGTCTTTACTAGTTTTTATGATAGAACTTAAATTATTTATAGGTCTGTAAGCAATATTAAAATTAAATTTATTTATAATAGATATAAATTTTTCAGAAATTTTTTGAAAATACGGAACAGTAAAATATTTTTTCGAGATATTAGATGAATCTATATTTTCTCTATGATCATTAATACAATCAAATGATTTATTGTAAAATAAAGATTTTATTCTATTATTAATTGTTGAAAACAAAAATTGTAACGGATACTCATTATTTAAAAAAGTATTGATTAGATTGTTAATATTTTTTTCATGAAATTTTGGGTGAGAAAGAAATATCACTCTGTCCAACTGACTTATTATTACTCCTCTTTTGTGCGTCACAGGATGATTTGAATAAAAATTTAGATATCGTCCAGAATCTGTAGGTTTTTTATAAATATCAAAAATCATTCTTCTCAATTAGCAATTTTACATCAAGAAAGTTTAATCCATAATTATTACTATGTTCAACTGTAAACTTCATTCTCTCATGGTAAGAATTGAAACAATTCAATGTGGAGTCAATCTGATCCTTAGGAAGAGCCATAATAATATCATCTACATAACGGTAATAAAAAAGAATATGAGTGGAGAGTTCATTCAAAATGTTGGATTCTAAATCTTGAATAACAATATCAGCCAATATTGGAGAAAGAGGAGATCCCATGGGTAAGCCAAAAATTTGTTTGTAGAACAATCCGTAGAATTTGAAATAAGTGGAATTTACAATGATAGATAAAGCCAATTTAAATTCATCTTTCGGTATTGTTGTGTTACATTCGATAAAATTCCATCTTCTTAAAAAACTATTTAAAGCTAATTCATTCGGTATGTTAGTATACATAGAGGTGATATCAAATGATACTAAACTAAAATTATTATCTATTTTTAAGCCATTAAGTTTTCTAACCAATTCAAAACTGTTCTTAATGTAACCAAATTTCTTTTTTATACTTTTTTCTATAATATCTTTTAAAAAACTACCGAGATTAAAAAATGGACTATTTACACAACTTATTATCAATCTAAAAGGATATCCCTCTTTATGTACCTTGGCTAACCCATAAGATCTAGGACAATCACCATCCGAAGTGTATAATTTACTGTAAATAGATTGGTTTATGTATCCTTTATTTTTCTAACGTGTTAAGATTGTGCGTATTTCTGTCGTTAATTTATTAGTGGGATCTTTAGTGACATTAATGTAAGTATTATTATCATTCAAAATTTCGTACATTTTACTAATATAATCATTACGATTTAAAACTACAGTGGTGTTACCCTTGTCAGCCCTCGTGATTAAAATGTCTGGATGATCATTAATAAATTTATTAAGATCTTTCATACCCTTTTTTATTGTAGTATTATTAAGATCATTCGTATAACTAAAATTTATATTGTTTAGTATGGAAATAGCATCTTTTCTAATACAATTTTTAGTATTTTCATCTAATTTTATTAAATTATTTTCAATGTGTTTTACAAATTCAATTTTCATATTTTCTTTGTTGATAATATTGTTTGGTAGATTAAATTTTTGTCCTAATTGTAAAATATATTTAGAATTATCCGGAATGTCAATGTTACTAAGATTTATCAACCATTTGTCATTTAATTTATTATAATTGTAGTCAATATTAAAATTATCCGGGCTAATACTAATGTTATGAACCAACATTTGATTATTAGAGCAATTATCCTTCATCGAAATATTATTTATTCTGGTTGGGCAAAAATTAATTTTATTTTTATAATCACTATCAATCGAATTAGTAATTTCAACGTTAAACTTAATAGATCTAATTTTTTTCTTTTGTGTACGTAATTTTGATGATCTTAAACTATTAATTTTTTTATCAATATTCTTATGTTCTTGATCCCATAACCTATTGAAAAAAGATTCTTGCCCACAAAAAAAAGCATTACAAATATTATACGGAAGAACATTCGTAATTGCCCTATAATTGTTAAAAATATCACGTTGTATTCCAGATAAATTTCTGTACGC